TGTATTATTACCTGAACAAAATTATTCGGATACTTTTCAAATTTCCACATGTCGAACGTTAACGTTTGTTTTGTAAAGAAACGTGTGATCTTATGAAATTTCATACCCTATATTTCTAATTTTTCAAGCAGAATCATACAATCATATAATACATTAATATTTTTATTTCAAGGAACACACTGGGTACATGAGTTAATATCCATGCTTTTGACACAGAAAACAGAATATAACTCCCATGGACCTATGTGGGAATTGAATCTAGAATATCTAAGACAACCAGAAGAGGTTGAGAAACTTGCTGGTCCCCGAATTTTCACCACGCACCTGCCATTTAGTATGGTACCTAGGACACATGTAGAAAACAGAAATAAGATTGTTTACCTCAATAGAAACCTGAAAGACAGATCTGTATCGTTGTATCATTTTCTTCAAGGAAAAATAGGAGTTCCAGTTTGGACTTGGGCAGAATATTTCGAACAAAACGTTTTACATGGCAAGTAATTTGTAGGATTAAGATAGTTATACATGTACATATAACTAAACATGATGTTCACCTCTCACATTTATCGCGTTTCCGTTCGTGTTTCAATTATTTTGCGTTTTCTTAGGCTGAATATAAAAATCTTTGCCCAACAACTCCTACATATTTAATTTTTTTCTTTCAAATTTTGGATTTCAAATACATGGTTGTTATTGTATAGCAACATAAAAGTTTCCACAGAATGAAACGAAAAGTTACGTTGCAATATTCTGTCTTATCATTGGATGTTGTATTATATAAAAGTATACACAGATGTGCCGCTGGTAGGGGTAACTCTTTTCGAATGTCAAATATATCAATGGGGTGCAGTTTCACGGAGGTGATATATCAATGGATAAGAATTCACATGTCAATGGGTCATAAATGTTCATTTTCTATAAAGATGACAGTAAAAACTGTGTTCTGATCTTTTTATCTAATAATATGAATAATCCCATTTGGTAAACATCTCATTGAAATAAGATGTCATGATACCTGGGAAATAGAAATGGGTTGTGATTTTCCTATGAAATATATAAATGGGGTGCAATTTCACGGAGGTGATTTTCCCATGAAATATATGAATGGGTTGAGATTTTCCCATGAAATATATGAATGGGTTGAAATTTTCCTATGAAATATATGAATGGTTTGAGATTTTTCCTATGAAATATATGAATGGGTTGAGATTTTCCTATGAAATATATGAATGGGTTGGGATTTTCGCGTAAATTAATATAGGAATGAGGATGTGGGTGATTTTTAAACACCAGCCGGACGTCTGTACCGTTTGTATGTTGAGATGAGACGTTATGTCTGTGATCCGTCAACGATTTTATTTTGCACTATTGCGCAAATGAAAGACATGATAACTAGACGTTTTGTTGTGGAATCTGATTCTATACTGCATGCCTCATTTATCGAGAATTACTGTAATAATTTAAATTTATTGCAACCCCGCGACAAATTTGTTGTATAAGTTTGAACTGAAATTTCCTGTTCTTATTCTGATGTTCAAAGTATTATTTCACAAGAGATAACCTTTAACTAATGCACACAGGTAAGAGGTAAATAGATTAATACATATATATTATTATCCCTCAATTGATATCTTCCCTCGGGCTAAAGCCCTCTGACATATATTAAACTCTCGGGATAATAATAGGGCAGATATGGAAAAAGGCAATGACATAATCTATAAATATTGCACTAGTACAAATATATGATGAAAATATTGACATCATCAGTGACAAAAAATATATACGAAACAGTTTTTCAACCTTCAGATTTCAATGCTGCTGAAATATTTGGTACGTTGTCATGTGGAGTAGGACCTGCTTACCCTGCAAAAGCACCTTAGTATAGGACCGGGGTTCGTGTTGCTCGGTCTTTGGTTTTCCCCTTTTGTGTTTTGGTCGTTGTTCGTTTGTTTTTTTTTTTGCCATGACATTGTTAGTTTGTCATCGACCAATGTGTTTGAAAATCCCTTTGGCACCTCCCACCTCTCTTTTTGTACTACATCATTAAAGGGTAAGTGCACTAATATTAATGAATATTGTCACTCACAGTATATCATACTGCACTCGAAAGCTAGTGCAATATGATATACTGATCGGGACAATGTTTCTCAATGTTAGGGCAATAACCCTATATTATTTCTTTTATTATTAACAGTTTAAAAACATCGCTGTATTGAAGACCCATTGGTGGGCTTCGGTTGTTGTCTGCTCTATTGTCGGGTTGTTGTCTCTTTTCCATTCTCAATTTTAATGCTCATTTCTTCCTTTACATTTTCATATGAAAAATCAATGTATATTTCCCTCGTAAAATATTCTTGTAGGAAAAGAACTCCATCCTTCTTTACAGAAAATAAAATACTCGGACAGTTATCAGTGATCACCATTCATTTATTCATGTTCACTAAAGAATCATGATGTTTATTGTACACAAATACACAGAATTACTGAAATAGATGTCAGAACACAAACGTCAAAAGCGTACAATTTCAAAATTTTACTCTTCATCTTGAAAAAACTGTTTACCTTGTTGTACTCATGTGGTTAATACTTTACAGAAGTCAAATGAAATTCTCATTGGAATATGAAATGAAAAGTTTTTTTTTGATGGATAAATCATAGAGGTTGGAGATATGAAAGTGAAGTTGATACCTAATTGAAATAGAGTTGCTACATGTAATTTAACTATTGAACCAAGGTTTCTTGATGGTCAAGTTGAATAAGAATAAAATGAGAATTGTGATTTAAGTACATGTGAAATAAGAGTAAGTACTCATATTACGGTCTTCAACACTATACATGTGTTTATCAAATATGCATAGATCGTAATCGCCGCAAGACTTTAACAGCTGTGCATTAACTTAAAAGACTGTCAAAGATCTGCTACTAGCAATTGGACATTTCTTCGTAAGTTTTACGGATTTTGTACAGATTTGATTCATGGCTAATAAACATGATGAATATACAAATGTATGTTTCACAAATTATCACGGAAATGTTTCATCTGTCGTAAACACAGAATACGATTTCACCCGAATGCTGCTTATCACAGATTGTTCTACTTACCAAGAGGAACACAACCTGTGACACTATTGGGGAACACCACCTGTGAAACCATCGCACATAAGCGAACGAACCATCGCACTTCAGCGATTGTGTTCTGTTAATACAAGTTGTTTCCCTTTGCCCCTTGAGAATGGTTCTTAACCAAACACACATAATTGCTGCCCATGCAAAGCCTGATAAGTTGAAAGTGATTTATGGGGATTTAATTCAATTTTAATTGAAAAAAATAACTATTAACATCAAAACATTTTAGGAAAACCAAATGTTATATGTAATTAAAAGATTTGAAAAACTTGCAGATTACACACATTGCATACAGATAAATTTGCTATTTGCGCTTGATCTTTATTAGCAATGAAACAAATTCCTCGCAAGGGAAATATCTCGTACAAATGGATCTCTAATTGCAGAGTCAATCACGGAATTTGAGTCCGTCAGAAAGTAGTCGATCGTAGCTGATTGTTTCGTTTAAAAGGCAATCCGAGATTACGCTCTATTAGGAACGCTTATATCAATAACTTCAATAAGCAAAATCTGTATAAAAGCACTGTAAAGTCTTTGAATGGATTGGAGAAATGTTTGTTGGAAAAAAGTTATAGATAGACAGATAATTTTTTATTTCCAATAGAGGACCCGTTATGGGCATAATCAGTACAGTGATTTTTTTTTTATATTAAACAATTGCAATATAGACAATACACAAGAAAAACAACCCAAACATGAAATATAAATTGATTTAATAATATATATAGCCATATAAACCATAGTGTTTACTGACCATGCACCAGAAACAGCATCACATCCATAATAAAATAGCTTTTAAGTCCTTCCTCGTGGCTGATGCATATGAACAAATAGTATTGTTGTCCATATGCAGGAGACATCAAGGGCAGGTGCTTAAAGGACACTCAAGCAAATACACACACATATGAATATTTAAACACTTTACAACACAAGCATAAACTTGTACTAAAAAAGGATTATTATATAGTCCTCTTCGTGGCTAATGCACATGGACAAGATTATTATGCAGTTATCCAAATGCAGGAGTCACCAAGGGCAGATGCTTTAAGGACATAGAAACATGTTATGTAAAAGTTTTGTGCAAAAGTTATTTGGATTTTGATGCAGCCTCTAGCACAACTTGTGTAATGCTCTGATAAAAAAAAAACACAAAATTACACAGAAAACATTAACAATGGTATAAATTATGAGCAATTTTTTGCCCCACCTAGGGGCATTATGTTTTTCGGGCTGAGCGTCCGTTCGTCCGTCCGTCCGTCCGTTCGTCCGTCTGTCCCGCTTCAGGTTAAAGTTTTTGGTCAAGGTAGTATTTGATGAAGTTGAAGTCCAATCAACTTGAAACTTAGTACACATGTTCCCTATGATATGATCTTTTTTAATTCTAATGGCAAATTAAAGTTTTGACCCCAATTTCACGGTCCACTGAACAAAGAAAATGATAGATCGAGTGGGGTGTCCCGCTTCAGGTTAAAGTTTTTGGTCAAGGTAGTTTTTGATGAAGTTGAAGTCCAATCAACTTGAAACTTAGTACACATGTTCCCTATGATATGATCTTTCTAATTTTAATACCAAATTAGAGTGTTGACCCCAATTTCACGGTCCACTGAACATAGAAAATGATAGTGCGAGTGGGGCATCCGAGTACTATAGACACATTCTTGTTCATTATGTTTTATGAAAGCACATATGAAATATGAAATGGATAGAGGTGATATTACTGAATATAATTTATAGTCGATAACAAATACATTAATAAATGGAAGCGAAGTAGTACTAATGAAACAAAAAACATCAAACAAAGCAAATTTTAATTTGCCAAGATAACAAGAACCTCAATAGCCAAAATTTATTTATTCAATTTAATTGTAGATACTGTCTATACTGGATGGTTTAACTTTACAAAGGAGATGACAGAAGCAGTGAAGAATAGTTCTGCTAATATATTTCCGTTAATGTACGAAGACTTGGTACTGGTAAGTTATATATATATATATATATATATATAGGCTGGAAAGCCACATAATCATGAAAATATAAAAAAAATAAAGAGATGTGGCATGATTGCCAAAGTGACAACTATCCACCAAGGTTCAAATGACGTGGATGTAAGCAATTATAGGCAACCGTGCGGCCTTCAACAATATAAGAAAAAACAATATCGTAAAGTCAGCTATAAAAGTTCTCGACATGAAAAATATGAAACAATTCAATTGAGAAAACTAACGGCCTAATTTATAACAAAACAATTTATGAAAAACATATGACAGATACGAATCAACGACAACCACTGAACTACATGCTTCTGACTTGGGACAGGCACATATAGAATATGACGGGGTTAGACATGTTTGAAGGCGCCAACCCTGCCCTAACGTGTGACCATAGTGCAAAGGCACAACACAAGAACAAACTACACAAAACAATAAACGAAAAAAATATGAGAAACACCAATAACGACAAACATTCAATTACAGGTTCCTGACTTGGGACAGGCACATATAGAATGTGGCTGGGTTAAACATGTTTGAAGGTGCCAACCCTCCCCTAAACTGAAAAGTATGTTGAATGCATGCGAGCGTTGTAATTCTAACATTAGTAGACATGTTTTCTAAGAAAAGTTATTTTTAGTTCCAAAGATGTAGAAATAATGGATGTAAACTGATTTTTTTTTTCTTTGAAACAATAATCTACAGACCAACATCCTAACGTTAAATATATATATATATAAAAAGACCGTGACAATTAAATTTGAGACAATTGAGAAACACAAAACTGTTTTAACAAAGTCTAAAATATCAAACTAACAATAAATTTATTGTAGGAAAATAACAACTACAAATTCAATAAAATTGAGAATGGAAATGGGGAATGTGTCAAAGAGACAACAACCCGACCTTGGTACAGACAACAGCAGAAGGTCACCAACAGGTCTTCAATGCAGCGATAAATATCCGCACCCGGAGGCGTCCTTCAATGCATGTTTTCATGTATAGCACATATTGCTATCAAAATTCTTTTAGGAAAACGAGCTCTGAAATTTGAATTACATGTATTAAAAAAAGATCGGATAATTAACTCTATTTACAACCACACCTGGTAGTTCTCACACTTTGGAGAAATGCTATTTTGTGTGATATAAATTATAGTTCTGAATTTTAATATCAATTGAATCATGTTGATTTATGAATTATTTCAGATGAACTTTGATTCAAATTATTTTTAGGAAACAAAGACAAATATAACTAGTTTGGCAAAGTTTTTAGAAGTTCCATACAAGGAAAGCTTTATCAACGAAGTTGTAGAAAGGTGTAGTTTCAAAAATCTTAAGGACAATAAACGAGATGTCTCTGAAATAATTCAACCTGACAAGAAATCTACACTCTTTCGGAAAGGTATGTGCACAGTGAAATACGATAACGTATACCTTTAGGTTGCAATTCTGTATATATAGACAATGCAATTTCCCGTAGGAACTCCTTTTACGGCTTAAAATGTACCACTTTTACTAGGAAGTTTCGTAAAAAATTATATTCTAGAATGGAAAGCTCATATGCACTACTATTTTTTTTTTTCAAAGGTCAAAATATAGGGCTGTGCGGCATATTTTTAACATTTATATGCCCCGAACTTCTAAGAGTTTAAACTTGTACTAAAATTCTGTACTACCCCTCCCTTCTTTTTGGTCTTCCACAGATTTCAATTTGGCCGCTATTCATGTGCATTTATACTGGCAACATTCCCAAGTTATGTCTCTACGAGATGAAACATAGAGATCATATCTGGGAACCAGTCTAGGTAAACAAAATAAAATATCTAAGAATATTATATATCGCCCCAAAAGAGGCGTGGTTTGTGAAACAGCTGTATTTACAAAGTGCAACCTTTAATACAACCAGAATAAGCCAGTCATTATATTTTTTCACACTACGATTATCCCCTCAAACCCCCAACCCCACCCGTCCCACACCATTTTTAATGGCAGTTGTTGGGAATCCGAGGCGGTGGTAGAATTTTTCTTTACAAGTAAAGAACATGTAGGTAGTACGTCAATGAGACAGCCAACTGACAACACAGTAAACCGAAGGAGATTTAGATTTCAGCATACGGTTTATCAACCAGTAATGTTACTTTGTAATTTGAATCATTTTGTATCACCGCTGTTTTTGATGGGGTTCATGTTGCTTAGTCTTTGGTTTTCTATGTTATGGTTTGTGTACAGTTTTTTGTCTTTTTGTTGTTTTCCGTTTTTTGCTATGGAATTGTCAGTGTTTTTTTCGACTTATGTGTTTGAATATCCCTTTGACATCTTTCGCCCCTCTTTCATATACTTTCATTAAGGATATGATTTTGTGAATAAAATTATAAAAAAAACAGAATTTCCTTAGAAATTAATATTGCTTTTAGACAACTTGGACCAATAGATTTTAAAGTTAAAAACAAATAAAAGGTGTTCCTTTTTTGGTTTCTTGAATTTCAAGACAATTGTACATTTTGGTAAAAAAAGTCTTGAGTCTATTAAATCTGAGAAAATCAAATGCTCGACTATATCAACCAAAGGAACAAATTGAAAACAACTGTCAGTTCTGACTTGGTACAGGAATTTCCGAATAAAATGGTGGGTTAAACTAGGTTTTATAGCTAGCTAAACCTCCCACTTGTATGACGGCTAATATTCTCCTGGATATTTTATATTGATTGATTGATTGGTGTTTAACGCCACTTTAAACACTATTGTGCTATTTCGTGGCAGTCAGTTTTTATTGGTGGAGGAAGCCTGAGAGAACCACCGACCTTCGGTAGGAAAACTAACAATCCTAGTCAATTAAGATTGGATTCGAGTGCACCTGCCCCGTGCGGGATTCGAACTCACAACCTCAATGTTGACTGGCTAGTGATACAGTAGTTCGACTACTTAGACCACTCGGCCACCGAGGCCACCTGGATATTTTCTAACATTTGCGCGAACGATACATGACAAATAATCAGATTCATGCATACATTTAGAATTCGAGTGTGCTTCTATAGTATGCATTTAGGAGCAAGATACGAAATCTTATACGATAAGCTTTTATGGAAGACCGACTGAAAATAATTCTTTGGTCACGATCACGAACTGATAAATTGTTACAGAATGTTGATTGTATAACCCACAAGTAATAATTTGAACCCTGTCATAGATTCCACTTGTGTTTGGGGCATGTACCTTTGCTTTTGGCTTTTTATGAAGATATTTGATCGTCTTTTCTTTTATATTTCAACTTAAATTTTGCCCCTTTACTACTACTTTTTTAAAATGATAGAAAGAGGACAACTCGTGTATACCAGAACACGTAAAATAAGAGACAATAAGTTAAATGTTTAAAAAATTTAATATTTTATTTTTAACACCTAAATAATGGGTCCATAACAAAAACACATGTGATTGATTCCACATGTCAAAGTATGTCAATAGAGGGGTGGAGATTCCAAACAAGGTGGCACCAAAAACATAAGTCGTATTAAAGCAGAGAACACAATTGTTAAACGGAAAAACTACGAAAAGACAAACTACAAAACTGCAAACACTACACAAAACACGAAAGATTGAGTCGCGCGAAACGCACAAAACAACCGCCGGCGAAATTAAATGATCCAGACAAGTCAGCAGTTCAATCTGACATTATTACTGGTAAACGATGTCAAGTTCCTAGTATTGACACTTACGACTTTGTAGGAAAAGAAGTGGTGAAAGATACCAAAGGTACATTCAAACTCATAAGTCGAAATCTAACTGACAACGCCATGGCAAAAACAAAAACGAAAAAGACAAAAAGACAAACAACAGTATCCGAACACAACATTGAAAACTAAAAACTGAGCAACATGAACCCCACTAACAACCGGGAGGATCTCTTTGGAATAGGACTTTAGAAGGCACATTTTTAAAACTATTGCCTTCTGGGAAATATTTTCGAAAGCAAAGGAACAGTGCTTTTATTGCTATTCTTCATCCCATAGTCAACAATAAGGCCTTCAAAATGAAGCAAACTTTTACACCTTACTACATTTATAAGACGGCCTTTAGCACGGTGTTCAAGGGAATTCTTTTGTAACCGTCAATAACACTACATCTGTGAATTGACAAACATGGATGCAGGGTAGAATGAACGAATTATGAATTATATCCGGGAAAGAAATCTAACACATACTGTCATAAATTCCCCAACAATTACATTGTGAAGTACAGATACAATACAAATATTTAAACAACCATGGGGCACATCAAGATATATTTCGGATAACTTGACAGAAAATTACGTATATGCGTATGAATAGAATCGGATGGACTGCAAAATAATTTCAAGAAACACATTTAATAGGCGATAATGAGAAAATTAAGAAACACAGAAAAGAAAAGTTATATAATGAATGAATATGACAGTTGAAATGTGAGTGTGTACACCTGAAGCATTTGAGAACTTTGTACGGCCTCCAGGCAGCTTAATTAAAATCACCGGACGTCGTTGCAGTGAAAGGTACAACACTTGGTATCATTATTACTTTTAAATAATCAAACCAGATATACTTTTCAATCCTATACATATAAAAAAAAAAGGAGATGAGGTATGATTGCCAATGAGACAACTATCCACCAAAGTTCAAATGAAGTGGATGTAAGCAATTATAGGCAACTCTTCCATTTACTCGTGTAGTTAAGTTTTGGACAATCAACGAACATTATGATTAAAAGTTAGAATGTGTTCTTACTAACAACATAGGCTACTTAACTGATCAATGAATAGAATTATAGAAGTCCAATGCTTGATGAAACACAATAAGTTTAGCTTCATACGTTAAGCTTTCTTTTAAATATCATTCTATATTGCAGGAGTGATAGGCGATTGGAAAAACTGGTTCACAGTTTCACAAAACCAGCAGCTTGACGAATTTTACCACAAGGAAATGAAAGATGTTGATGTAAAATTTAAATATGAATATCCACAGTAAAAATACGAATTCTTGTTTTATAGGAAGTGAAAGGAATATTTTGTTTGTACATTTTTGTATTGAGAGCGAATGGAAATACACACATTGTTGATGAATTAGATTACAAAAAAAGACATGTATGCACAATCCAACAGTTTGTTATATTTCCTATATTGTAAATTGGAAATTTCTAGTAAAACCATTACCTCAAAGCAGTAAGCTCTCATAAAATAGTTTTTCTAATAAACAATGACTGTCTCTAATCAGAACCTTTTAAAGTGTTGGTAGATTGTTTCTGATAGCCACTAACGTATGGACATTTTTTCAAGATACAGCTTCCATTAAGAAATATACCTCGAATTTGGGGCTACAGTGGTCATCTCAGTACCAGAATCTATGACAAACGAGACGATTTCGAATTAGAAATTATAAATTTTCATTACCTTAGCAGCATCATTCCAACTTCAGTCGCGTATAGAGTATACATTCTAAACTCATACTATATTCAAGAGCCTGTAGCTGCTACTCAGACTTTGTAAAACGTCATCGGTTTCTGAGTTAACATAAAAAAGCAAAGGTTTTGGTAAGAACGTCTCTTTCTTTTTTTCAAAAAGTTCTTCGGAAGATACCAACGGGACATTCAAACTCATAAATCAGAATAAACTGTCAACGTCATGACTGAAAAAGAAAAGTCAAACAACACTACCCAAAATACAACATAGAAGACTGAGCAACACGAACTCTACCAAAAACTGGGAGTGATCTCAGGCGCTCCGGAAGGGTAAGCAGATCCTGCTTCACATGGTGCCTTGCTCATGTACGTAAAAACTCGGTAATAAGTAGGTTACATTTTTTGTCTTTTTAGTATATACTTTCCTGGTGCAATCGTTTCCTTTTTCTCTTTTTTCTTTTGAATTTTCATTTTAGAAATTTTCTTCATTATAATCGACTTCGATGTTTGCTGTTTTTATTTCCTTGTCCTCACCTTAAGAGTTTTAGTCCAATTTTATTTTCCACATTAACTTATGATTCTCTATATTTAACTTTATCTTTAAAATGTTGGTTATGACTATCAAATAAGTTCATTTGCTGCTGACAAGAATTCTCATGAAATTCAAAACTTGCTGATTAGTAATTGTTTGATTTTCCTGACTTGGTTCTATGTGCATGAACCATCGCTGATTAATACCATAACTATCCACTCCCGTTTCAAGCTGTATCTACAATTTCTTTTATTACAAATATAATTCTACCTGTCTTCTATCAATTTTGTTTGCACATTATATTTCATTGTTTTGTTTTCCAATTCCATTCTTAATATTCTAACAGTTTTAGGATTGTTTACGCCAATTTATTAGGTCTTTCCACTTTTCCGTGGAAAGACCTATTGATTTTGTTCTGATTATTATTTTTTCGTTGTGTTCTTGTTTTATAAGATGTCGCTTATATATTTGGAATATGATATCGTATAGTTTATACGCTTTTGAAACTAACACTGCTTAACCGAACACTTTACGTTGTAAGAGTTATATCCCCAAACACTGTTTTTCTTGTGGCCACTACTCCTTCGCAACTGCAAAAGTTTACGACAAATTTATTTTACCAAATTGCTCGTTACATCTATAGGATAAGGATGACCATTTGGATCGAAGCTATCCTGAGACTCCATATGAGAGTTATTCCCCCTTATGCATTTGATATAAGTGATATGCATTTCTAACTGGTAAACCATAAGTGATAGAGACCTAGGTTCTCTTGATTTGAGGTCATTGGTTTAAAAAAATTAAAATTAGGTCAAGGTCAAAGGTCAAGGTCATATTCTAAATTTTTGGCTTATTTCCACTTCTTTCCAAAAACCGTATAAGATATCGACAAATTATTTTTACTAAATTGTTAGTTGCGACATGTCGTAACATGTAAATTTTGATTGCAAGGGTACGTTGACCGTAAAGGAGAGTTTTCTCCCTTTTTATATTTAAAATTTCATTATGGTGGTATAACTCATTTACCAAGTATAAAAAAGAACAGGGTAATTTGATTAAAGGTCCTTGGTTTATGACCTTGAAATTGAGCTAAAGGTCAAAGTTGAAATTGAAAGACGTTCTTGATTTTGACCTTTGCTATAACTTCATATTTAGACACGATAAAAGCCATGGGACTCTTTTCATTAGGTTGCAATTTACATGAGCTTGAAAATCCAACCGGAAATGACTGTGTAAACCGGAAGTAGCTTTGTTTTGTACTTATTTGATTTTAAAGTATATAGAACCATATATTTTTGGAATCAGTGTCAAGTAAACTATCAAATAATACCGGAAGTAACAAATTATCTCCCTTATTTCAATAAAATTGTTTAGAAACCATATATTTTTGGAATCAGCGTACATTAAGGTATCATTTGACACTGTATATGACACTTTAAACCATTTTTTAATATTTTCATATCAAAATGAATCGTAAGAATTGGAAAGACCTTCAATTGTTCTCTGAACAATTGGTTTTTAATTATGCTTGTTTTCCGTTTATAATTGTCGCTGTTAACTCAACTTTGTTAATATTATAGTTTCTTATCACACATTTGTACTTTTGTATTCAAGGGATGTCCTCAAAATACTCCAAATTTTCTCACAGGGTTGTTTTGAACTATTTCTAAAAACTCCATTTACAAAAACTGTAATATACAAAGTGTCTAACATACTTTGTCAAATTGAGTGGTAGCCTATAGTCACTTACAAGCAAATTTTGGCCAATACCTCAATCATTTATAGTAAATTAAAATTATATGATTTCATTGATTTCTTTTCCGTGTGTCTCAAATCAACAGCTCAGTAGGAATAAAGACTTCGGAATTACTAACGTTTATTTTCAATGCACGTATGTCATTTTCAAAGCTAGTTATTCGGCAAATTCTATTCTATCACGTTCATTGTAGCTCCTTCGGGTTGGAATTAATTTATCTGATGGATCCTTTCCGTCTATTATACAATATAAATGTTCTTGTACATCTTTTTAAACAGTTTTAATGTATATTTTTCCGGAACTTTCATACTCAGTCGTTTATCCACCTGAAGTTACGAACCTGGTTTGTTTATCATGAATGCACAAAAGTCATTTTGAATATAAATTGTGCAAAGTCTATTCTAAAACATTTATTGTTGCTTGCTCCTCCAGATTTTAACTTTAATGAATCTACAAGATCCTTCTCGTCTTTTATACAATATAAAAATTCATACTTTTAATTAGTTATATCGATTGAATATTAGTTTGGTAAAATCTTTACTAACACTTTCATTGTAGTGTTACGACTCAATTAATGAGGTTTCAGTTTAGCAAGATGAAATTTATTTAAAAGATTACACGAAAAATTATCTATCTAAAGAAATAAAGAAATTGAAAGACTATGGTATCGGCAAAAGGAGTACAATAAAGAACAAAAATTTTAACATTTTTATAGGAGACGAACTTGAAATGAATTTGTTCAAAATATTGATGGTCAAATTATTAAATCATTACGTAAGAAAAAGCCAGAAGATTCATAATATTATGCAGAAGTTGAAAATGTGAGCAGTAAACATCCTTCCCATTGGAAATCCGCGCGGAGACGACTAATGTGTATATATACACTATATTTACAACTTTGCAACATCTTGGTTTTTACCACTGCATGTGGGCTGGTAGTTCTAATGGATAGTTTCTTCCCAATTGTCAATAGTTTTTTATCTATATTTATATTGGAATAATATTCAGCTGCACAAATGTTTTAATTATCAGTATTGACAAACTAACTAATATATAGACATTGAGATTAACAACTAAAATTTTTGGCATTAGAAATTATTTCAATTTTCCAATTTGGAAACATTCAATATTAAAATTGTTAATTGTTATAGAATACCTGTGTCACAGTTGGCAACAGATATGTTCCATTTGTCTTAGCCGCGTTCTTGTCCTCTGTTCCTAGTTTGTGACATCGCCAAATGTAATTTATCATTGAATATTTACTACTCATGAGCTACAAGACGGGTGCAAGTAGTGGAATAGCACATGGAATTATCTTTGTAAAATAATTTGAGGATAGTTTTGTTTTGTTTTGTCTGTTCCTGTATTTTTTCTTAGGAGTACGATCTTTCTTGCACTAATTAAGTTTTGTATTGCTCCCATGGTATCTAGTTCATTGTTTTAAGCGCGTATCCTACCTAAGGTGCTTTTACTTATTAAAATGGAATGCTACAAGAAGAAAACTGTTTCACTCTATACAAATTTCGTTAACAGGGCTGTGCCCATTACAAAAAAAAATCAAACTTTTTCCCAATTGTGAACTCTCCATTTCTATGTAGCAACATTTCAGCAGCGCCTGCATACGGAATATATATCTCCCAGTTGATACGATATTCTAGGGCCTGTTTTTCCTATCATGATTTCCTCGATAGGTGGTTGCTGCTCACAAGGAAGCTATTAAACCAAGAGTTTCAAGTAGTGAAGTTGCAATCATCACTTCGTAAATTTTACGGACACCATCAAGAGTTGGATGGCCGTTATGGAATATTTGTTGCACATATCACAGCGGGTATGTTCTAATCGTCGTAACTACAAACTCGCCCCCTTTTTCCCGAATGTGACCTACAGAATTAGAATTTGCACCGGGTTTGAACTGGCATGAGCAACATGACGGGTGCTACATATGGAGAAGGATCTGAGTACCCTCATGAGCACCTGCGATCAGTTTTTTGTGGGGTTTGTGTTGCTCAGTCTTTAGTTTTCTATGTTGTGTTTTGTGTACTGTTGTTCTTTTTTAGCCATGGCGTTGTTAGTTTATTTTCAACTTATGAGTTTTTTCTAATGCCCGATCGTGAAATTTTGACTGAGTGTGTTTTTGCAATGCGGGAAATGCTTACCCTGCCGACACACTGTTCTCGCTCCCTTTGAAGTTCATGCGATTCACTCAGTTTTTGTGTGTTACCTTGATTTGTCTCTTAATCGATATACGAGATTTCATCGTCGGTAAAATATTGCTGCCTTAATTTACCTTGGTTTTCTAAATATATCTTTTCCAAATTATTATATCAATCTGAAAAGCCTGTATTAAGTGATGTTCTGTCATTAATACAAATATGAATACTTGGAATAAAAATATTGCAAAAAAAGGGAGATTAAGTCTCTAAAACCATCAAACATGTTAGCATTCACATACAATCCGATAGATATAAACATTGATTGGTTACCTGGGAAATCACCATGAATGACTGAAAGGTGTATAAATCACTTACAGGCTTACCAATGTTTATGTCATGCTGCTTTCATAGCTATATAGCGGAAAAACATTGCTGATGCTAATTGAAAGATGACTGAATTTCTTCAGGAATTAATGTTGTCCTGATTTTAGTTAATTAAAGGATCTTGTATATGTTTTCTAAATAAAACGAGATTGCTTGTTATTTTGATCTATTCGTCCACAAAACGGAAGCATTTTTCTTTTTAGAAAATGTCAATTGTGGTGTAAATTGAGAGGAACAAAATACTAAAGTTGCTATAATTACCAGAAAACAGAGCTGTCTAACAAGGTGATACAATTCAAAGGAACACGCCAAATATACCAAGCTGGATACTTGTAGTAGTGGCGTTTTAAAGACCGCAAAACGTTTTAAACATAAGATGTTAAAAACATCAAAGAAGAATTCGATCGCACCTCTTGTTACAAGGAAACCAGATGTAGAGGAATCATTAAAACACCCATCATTTTTCGGACAGGCCGTTAAATTACATTTGTTTAAAGTCTATGTTATATGTACTTTATCAGTGATAGTCATTCTTGGAATATCTACGTTTATCATATCAATGAATATTCAAAATTACACATCTGCTGACGGAAGTCTAGAAATGATTAAGATAACAAAAGAAGACATTGATACATTTCTTGACCTTCTACAAGGAGTAACTGCTAAATGTATACTTAAAACTGTGATAGACATCTCTTCAATTGTTTACGATATGAATTCCTTAGCTATTTCAAACTTTCATGCCATGTGTAACTCAACAGTTATTCCGTCAAAATTCCGGAATTTATGCAACACGACTGTTTTTGAGATGTGCAACAATGACACGTCTTATCAAATGGAACTTACGATCGAAAGTACCCTTATTCTCCTTCAGAATAATTTAGAACATATCCATTTTGAAAATCCATCACAATTTGTATATTTCTACAGTCTTGTAAAGTCCGGTTGTTTTTGTATTCTTGAAACATTTCATTGTGCATCTTCCATTTCAACTATCAGTGATGCTCAGCACGTGAGGTACTTTTACATGAAAAATAATGCTTTACATGACGTTAAGGATTTGAACTTATTGACAAATTTTGATAAACAAGCTATTACAAGAATTGAAAATGAAATATGTCAACAATTTATTCACAACGAAACCTTATTTTCTGAGCATTTACTTGTTTTAAACAATATACTTGTTGATATCCGATCAGCCTTAAATAAACTACGAAATGAAATTGATACAAGTACACGTTCAAAAGAATCGTTCTATATAGGACAAATTGTATCAGTAATAATTATGTGCATTTTTACCGCTGCCATGTTAATTGCTGTTGTTCAAACATCAAAGATAATGAATAGATGTATGGTAACATTTGCAGAAGAATATCAAATTAAAACGGAAGAATTAGACAAAGAAAAACAGATTGCAGAAGATCTCCTCTTCAAAATGATACCAAAATCTGTAGTTTCTCATCTACGTAGTAAACACGGTCACGTTTTTGCAGAAACTTTTGATTCAGTATCAATTTTCTTCAGTGACGTTGTTGGATTCACAGAAATAGCCGCTTCCAGTAGCCCCATGCAGGTATAGTTTTCCTACTGTATTTGTAATCTTTTTTTTATTTTCCACTAAAGGTCTATGTATTTTATCAATGAAAGATGTAGATCAAATTTCCAATTAACTTCCGTCATCCCAGAGTACCCTAGTGTTTATCATAAAAGAATAAGCATGTCATTCTTAACCAAAACCAGCTCCGATTCGCACAACAGCTATGTGTTCCTTCCAGATAAAAATAATGTTTTATTTCAGGAAGTCATTCAAGCAAAATTTTAAAGAAAATGCAATACTATATTACAGCTGTCTTTAACAATCACTAAAAGGACCCATTATTTTTCTAATTTTTTTTTTTTTTTCATTTTATGGATATATAGAATATTAATTTTTCTAGTACATATATATTCAAATTCCAAAAGGTTTCATCAATTTACCGATTTAAACACTTTTAGAGCAACACATTTAGAAAAAAACAAATATACCCCTTCAAGTCGTTCTTGATACTGAAAGATAGGTGACGACTACCAAAGGGATATTCATACTCATAAGTCGAAGACAAGTTGATAAACGACTTAAAAGACAAACAACAGTCTATAAAAAACAAATTAGAACAAACATTTTGTAGTAAATATCTAGAAGGATTATTTAATACTTCTAAAATATTGTGTATAAATCAAAATAGATTGGAGCAAATATTATGGACGTTTTTAATTTTTATTTCATATAAAACCAAGTAGAAACGATGAATGTGGAACATTTGTAAAAATAATAACAGATCAGATTTAGATTTTCTTTTGATATTTGGAGACATTTGATTATAATTACACATTGCTTTTTCTATTCAATATTAATCTTAACTTGTGGTGTATTCTCTTCGAGCTTCACCGAGGAGTCCCATGCAGATGAATCGCTCGCTTTGCATAACAAATTATAAGCCTGGTATCTTTGACGAGTTTTTATAACTATAAATAATGCACAAATAATTCTTGTTAAAATAACGTTAACAACAGAGTAGATTGTAGATGCCTTGTTTAATATCATAATTTTAAACAAGTTGTATTTCCCGATTTTTCTTTCAATGATAACAATCCTTTGTAGTAACAAAAGATCCAATTAAGGTGCTTGATATGCTATGAGTTATGATATATGAACTGCGATCGGTATACTATTAAAATGTGATAAAACTAATAACACAATGTCATACAATGCACTATATAAACTAAATACACTGGATTGAAAAATATTCCCAATTAATATAATGTTTAGCAATGTTTATAATGGATTTTCTTATCCCAGGAATAGATTACCTTAGCCGTATTTGGCACAACTTTTTGGAATTTTGGGTCCTCAATGTTCTTCAACTTTGTACTTGTTTGGCTTTATAACTATTTTGATATGAACGTCACTGATGAGTCTTATGTAGACGAAACGCGCGTCTGGCATATTAAATTATATTCCTGGTACCTTTGATAACTATTTACACCACTGGGTCGATGCCACTGCTGGTGGACGTTTCGTCCCCGAGGGTATCACCAGCCCAGTAGTCTGCACTTCGGTGTTGACATGAACATCAATTATATGGTCATTTTTATAAATTTCCTGTTACAAAACTTTGAATATTCCGAAAAACTAAGGATTTTCTTATCCCAGGAACAGATTACCTTAGCCGTATTTGGCACAACTTTTTGGAATTTTGGGTCCTCAATGCTCTTCAACTTTGTATTTGTTTGGCTTTTTAACTATTTTGATATGAGCGTCACTGATGAGTCTTATGTAGACGAAACGCGCGTCTGGCGTACTAAATTATAATCCTGGTACCTTTGATAACTATTAGCAATGTGTTTCATACTTTGATATTAATGACATTGTCATGGATAATTGTTGCTCCCATTGTTATCTTTCCTCTAATAATGACGTGGCATTACCTTTGTCTGATGTAATTTAATGTTTTAATTCGATCCGATTTTGTTCTAGATAAGACACCTAAACAAATCAAATTCACGAATTGAAACAATCTGTACGAATTTCCAGTATGCAGTATTGGCATTAACGAAAATCAATTCTGACATGAGCTTAAAGTGCATACTATAAAATCTTCTGTTACAGTATTTTGAAATTTATTTTAAATTAAGGAATATGTTTGCCTCATCCAAAGCTCGGATTCCTTGCTCGGCTTTGGTTATAGCTTTTCTCCTTTTGGTTTATAAGTTTTGAATTTTCAAACGTTTTGGCCTCAAGCTTCACCGAAGAGACATTTATTGCCAAAATCCGCATCTGGTGCAGAGCAATTGGTTCCGTTAATGTTATTTGAGCTTTAATTACCAATATTTCATACTGCGAGGGACATAATTCTTCATTGTAATCGATAATCCTTTTACAATTTAACTTCTTTTATCTTTACAGAAGCATTTTATTCAATACCATTATATTTAAACTGGGTCGATACCTCTGCTGGTGGACTGTTAGTCGGACTGATAGTTCCCAAGGGTATCACCTGCCAAGAAGCCAGTACTTCAGAATCAGCATGAAAATACTGATATTTTGTTATTAAAATTTGCTGTTACAAAATTTTGGAATTCATTTTAAATTAATTAATACATCTTCCACATGCGAAGCTCTGATTCATTGTCCGGCTTTGGCTATATTTTTTGTCCTATTGGTATCTAAGATCTTTTTTTATATAAGTTTCGGATTTTCAAATATTTCATTTTTGGCTTCGAGCATCACTGAAAAACATTTATTGTCGAAATGTGAATCTGGTACCGAAAAATTGATTTGGTACCGCTAAGGTTATTACTACCACTGGGTCGATACAACTGCTGGTTGTCTGTTAGTCCCCGAGGGTATCAACAGCCCAGTAACCAGTAATTCGGTACCGGCAGCACAATACGGGTAATGTGCTATTAAAATTTCCTGTTGAAAAAATATACCTGCCCAGATGCCAGTTATTCGGTATCAGCATGAAAAAACTGATATTTTGTTATTGCAATTTGCTGTTACAGAACTTTGGAATTCATTCTTAATTAAGGAATATATTGCCTTCAAGCCTAGCTCTGATTCATTGCCCGGCTTTAACTATACATTTTGTAATTTTGGTTTATAAGCTCTTCCTTTTTTAATAAGTTGTGGATTTTCAAATATCTTTTGTTGGCATCGAACATCACTGAAATGCCATTTTTTGTCGAAATTCGAATCTAATGCAGAAAAAGATGTCTTTCCTATCATTGCTCTTTCTCCGATGTTTGCTCGGAATTTTTCTATCATGTGAAATCAGATGAGATTTGCAGCTTCTAATATAACTGGAACAGTACTAATTCAAAATAACAGCACACTGGTTATTTCTCAGAAACATATGAATAGTATCAAACTATATATAGGGCTATAGGAATAAACATTGTTAACTTCTTGGTCTGAGGAATATAGTCGCTTCTGAACGTTTTCATGTATTATTACACCAAAATGCTTCAAATAAAATTGAATTCTCTGCATTTATCATTTTTTACAATGCAATACGGTTATATTGCGGAAACATCCCCTCTGAATTAATTGAAAGCTATGTAATAAAGCTGAATTGCAGAAAGTCCCCCACCTAAATATTTAAAACTATCTGTTTCATTTTGCATTACATCATGATATCATCGTTCAAATTATACACATACAAACGGCTTAATGCTTGTTTCTGAGTTGTTATGAATCTTAATGGATTTACTTCCTCGGATGTTAATATACATCTTGTAATGATCATTTGTAAAAACAGAATAACTGATCAAATCTTAGATGTCTTGTGAACTTTTGAATAACATTCGATTATCAATACACCAGTGGCATATCTCGACGTTTGTAGTTTGTTATGAATCTTATCAGGTGGCTTATAACTAAACAATAACTGATAATGACTTTGTATTACCTTTATCTTATGTAATTCAATTAGTGTTTTTTTATAATTGCTATAGATATAAATAGAGACATCTAAACAAATCAAGTTCACGCATTTAAACAATCTGTAATTTCAGATATGAACTTAAACTGAAATAAACTAGCTTCGATAGTTTGGCATTCTGCTTGTGAAATACAAGTGTCCGCGTGAACTGTAATGCGATGGTTCATGCAATTAACTAACATTTATTTCCCTTAACTTATATTTTTAATGGATCTTTGGGGTTTTGATCATCGGTAAATTACTACTTTTGTTTGTTATATATTAGTTCAGGAAAGAGTGCTTGATTATTTTTGGGGCCCTTTATAGCTTGCTAGTCGGTGTGAGCCAAGGCTTCGTGTTGAAGGCCGTACTTCGACCTATGATGGTTTACTTTTACAAATTGTCGACTTGGATGGAGAGTTGTCTCATTAGCACTCATACCACATCTTCTTATATCTATTGGTTGATGTGGTCTGTTGAACTGTATGATGTGTTTATCGATTCATGTTATATATAAGTATATAAACAAGGATTGGACGATGTGGTCTGTTGAACTGTGTGTGATGTGTTTATCGATTCATGTTATATATAAGTATATAAACAAGGATTGGACGATATGGTCTGTTGAACTGTGTGTCATGTGTTTATCGATTCATGTTATATATAAGTATATAAACAAGGATTTGACGATGTGGTCTGTTGAACTGTGTGTGATGTGTTTATCGATTCATGTTATATATAAGTATATAAACAAGGATTGGACGATGTGGTCTGTTGAACTGTGTGTGATGTCTTTATCGATTCATGTTATATATAAGTATTTAAACAATGATTGGACGATGTGGTCTGTTGAACTGTGTGCGATGTGTTTATCGATTCATGTTATATATAAGTATATAAACAAGGATTGGACGATGTGGTCTGTTGAACTGTGTGTGATGTGTTTATCGATTCATGTTAAATATAAGTATATAAACAAGGATTGGACGACGCGGTCGTATGTACAATGCGATGTTATAGTTATTCTTGTTATCATATGTATGAAGTATAAGCTCAGTTAACAATGCTTGTTTGATATGACCTATTGTATTGTGCGATGTTTTTGTAATCT